GCAGCACGTGTTTAAAAAATGACCTGTCTGTGTGCCACCTGCGCCGTCCGCATAGAGCCACTTGTTTAGCTTACCCAGCGAGCTGGGTAGGTGAGAAGGTATAGTAAACACGAGGTTGGGAATGTTCGCCCGTGAGTGTGATGAGCTATAAATCACCAACGTTATGGAGCACCGGCACACTGGCCAAACAAAAGAATGGTTGACAAACAGTCTGCATGGCTCATTTGCACACTTTCCCTTTTGTCCCCCTGCCTCGAAAGCTCACACTCGTCCCCACCTTTCCCATCACTTTGTCAGCCTGCTGCGAGGCCTTATTTTCAGGCTCACATATATAATTTTTTCCCTACATTTGTTTTTTGGCAAAGGTTCTGCATTGTTCAGCCTCTCTCCTTGCTAAAATGGATTTGCCATCCCGCAGGATTGAATGGAAATGCAAGCGCCCGGCAAATATTTTTCCCCACCAACGCTCTGCTCCGGGCTGGGGACCATTGTTGAGGTGGAACGTTGTGGAATGCTGTTGGGGATGGCCGCGAGAGTGCATGCGTGTGTGTGTGTGAGCGCAACGGCATTGCTTGCATGACGTCCGCACGAAGGAATCTCAAATGCATCTTTCATCGAGGCTCCAAAGTGGAGGGACCCCTCCTTTTTTTTTGTTTCACGAGACCCATCCCAATTCCCAAACAGAAAAAAAGTTTGTCGAGAATTTAACAGCCTGCAAAAACCCCTACACTTTGGACAATTCTACTCTGCTGTCAAACACATTATGGTCACAGAGTCGCTTCGCGTACATAGCGGCGATCGGCATAAAGCGTGGAATTGCATTTTTTTTTTATGTCTTTGGACAAACTGAATTTTAAAAACAGAGTTCCATCAACAACACTGACAAAAGAAACAAATCAAAACATATTAGTTCAAACAACATGTGTGAACTTACAAAAAATAAATATCTTTCCATTTATATCTGCTTATTGCTTAGTTTAATGTTTTACTCCTGACCTTGAAATGCACGATGTCTTGCCATGCCATACCCATGTATTTAATGTAAAAAAGGTCACATGAACATTATCGTATCGCTGTGCTGTCATTTGTTTGCGTAAATACCTGCGAGCTTCACGAAAGTTTTTTCGCAGCGAAGTTTACAATCTTTAGTAGACTGTACCGTGAAACAAGTCAAGCGGTCGTCTGCCTTGTAGTTATAATGTAACTCAAAATTGCATCACAATACAACAAGTGCCAAATACAATGCTTTGCATTTCATGTTGTATCCACCATGAGCATTTTGTACATGGGCTTCACTATAATATTATACGCAACAAAAGAGGTGGCGAAATATCGTAACAGGCGGAGAGAACTCTTGTCGACGGCACCAATGGAGATAATGAGGAACTATTTTTGTTTTTGATATTTCGCCATTTGCGCCAGGGCGTCTCAGAACGCTTTACACTTATATCGCATCTAAAACGTTTGAAAAGCAGCACACACCCCCAGCGGCAGCTGTCCCTGTGGGCACAGAGAGACACGGCACCTCGCCTGCAAATGAGCACAAGTCTACCGGTAGTGGGCGATGATTGCTGTGTCTCATTGCCAATGTAACAATTTGCGGGTAATTGTAAAATTTGGACTATGATACAGGCACACAATGGCCTACTAGTTTTAAATTAAGTCAGGGGATTTTTAACATCCACCGTGAATAAATAGTGTGTAAATATGCATTTTCACTAGGCTCTGACATGGACTACTATAGCTTTTGGAGTAGGTCATACGGCTGGGCATAAGAAAGCGAAATAAACAATTAACAGATTATATACTATTATTGGTTTTTTCTACGTGACTTTACCGAAAGAACCAAGAATATGAATCCCTGCAGTCACGAAAGCTTTAAATCAAAGATTATATACTGAAACACAGTAATACACAGCCAACATCTCAAAGAAGTGAACCTGCCCTGGCTTCTGCAATGGGAATATGTATCCACATTAATCTTGGTTTTTATAGACGAGCAGTCACACCGAGTACTTCCGATGCGGCTGATGATCAGCAGTGAATGCCTTCAAAGTGCAAGAGAATATGGATTTGGACTTGCATTAATCCTGGTTTTATAGCAGAAGGATTCCTACTCCACTTCAGTGCATTGAGCACACAGCGTGCTGCTTATGTGGGCGCATAAGAGTCCTAAAAACGGAGAACATATAGAATGGCTTATTACGGATATGTGGCTGCTGGTTCATTTATCAATACAATGTTTTTGTTTATGTTCGTTTGTTTTTTGTAAAATGAGATTTCCATGGTGCTGCATATAACGAATAGCGGTGTAATTATAAAGTCTACATATACATATAAATATATATATTTCCCCCCACAAGTTCACTCTCGGTTTGCAATCGGCATCATGAGATGGAACAATGAATACACGTGGAAATCTCGCAGAGCAGTCCGATCTCATGTGTCCGAGAGAGAATGGACAATACATTTGCTGAATAAATTATGTTAAAATGTCCTCTTCACTCTCCCATACACTCCTCTGCTATGAGATTGGTGTTTTGCCACACGATTGTCAAAATCATCTTCAAATTCTCAAGAGCTGAAATCTAACAAAATTAACATTGTGTCGGAGGGATCGCATGAACCTGTTATGTAACAAAATTCCACCCACACGATCTAACCCAAAACACTAATGAGTCGGTCTGTGATTTGTTAATAATTTTAAGTTGACTACCCCGAGTCAAACCACTGCTGGACAAATGCCTCCCTATGCTGTGTTGCCCCTGGGGACCATTTTACACCATGATGCTGAGGAGTGCAGGTTGGTGATTGAGGGAGGGGGGGGGTGTCTCTGGATCAGTAAACATATCACCTACCATTGATGGTGCAGTCAGGGGCGAGATCCGAACTCGGGGTTCATTTGATAGTGCGTGAAACCAAACAATCTCCAAACCTTTCCAGAATAGCTCTACATTAACCGTCAGTCTTTACTGCAATAACACCATGCTTGATTTTCCTTAGGCATTGCTGGCTGCCTCCCTATTTAAAGTGGAAATTAATTCTAAAGATTTATTTAGGTCACCTACAGATTAACATTTACGCAAGGCATTAATCAACGGACTGGAATTATGAAGTCCACCAGAGTAATGATAAACACTGGTTCAATGACGATTTAAGTGGGAGAGGATGAGTGAAACTTGGTATGCAAACACTGCTCCACAGCCAGAGACATATTCTGGCTCACGAATAATGAATTAATGGACTTAGCTTTTACTTTATTATTTAATTTATCCATTTTCTTTGCAACGGGTCACATTTTTCTCATGTCACAAAATCAACACGAATGAATAATGAAAGCAACCAATGGCTCTAATGACATTTTAGACTTGCATAATGTGACATGCAGGAATAAAGGATGTGGTGCTTTGCTTATACTCATGGTTAATTGTAAAACGCAAAGGACGCGATGCAAGGCCCTGGAATATCCAATCGGAAGAACATCGTTTTTTGCCAGCCTATTCAACAAACAGCCCTCCCTTAGACAGACGTGAATTGTGATTTCCTGCTCAGAGAAACATTGAGGAAGTTCTCATCTCCCATTCAAAGCGCCGATTCAGGGGCGGATATTACACGTTTCTATTGCGGGCGGCTGGTCTATCCAAAGGACAACCACTGTTTGTCTTCGTCCTGGGCTGCGTTAACCCCCAAAGAGGATTTGAACTCGCAAAAAACTTTCCGAATGCGAGCCCGCGCACTGTTGCGCGGAGGCAACCGACCTGAACACTGGCGACACTTAAATCAGAAGTTCGACAATACAGGGGCTCGCAGGGGGTGATATTAAGACCATTGTTTTCACCTGTCCTTTTGAAGGCCACTCACCTTATCATGGCCAGTCTAATACCAGAGGTGGCTAAAACACACAAATCGCTTTGTTTATCTTTCGTGACTTCACCTGCAGCAAGTGTTGACAGCCAGATTTACAGTGTCCCAGCCATTCAGCACAAGACTTTTTTTTTAAGGCCAGAAAGCTCAAGTGTATTTAAAGGCACGGAGATTTATTCTGGGGCAAATATTTCAATTGAAAAGTCACGAGCAAAGTGTTTTATGACACTCGCAAAATAAAACCCGCTACACAGGCAAAGAAAGGGGGTCAGCTTCGTCTTTACAATACTGACCCAACGGTCTTTTTAACGTATTCACCCGTTGCCAAATGACGGACTGTGATATTTGAAAGCAGCAAGTATGGTCTTCTGTGTATGCAACATTGTTGTAATTTACTTTACTGCAATCCAAGAATGGATTTTAACTTTTTGAGAAATATGGGAGTGCAAATATTAAGAAAAATAGAACGTTTTGACGACAAAAGGTGGATGACCATGTCGTCTTCCCCACCCCCCCCCCCCCCCCCCAAGTTCAGGTTATTCGTTGGGTTTATCCAGCAGTTGTTGTAATAACAATTATATTATTCTACGAGTGGAACAATGTATTGAGTCAGAGTCATTAAGTCCGAAGGTCAGAATCCGTACATTACATCAAGCATGTTCCAATGAATGTCATTTGATTCGTATACATTGTATGAAATCGGTTCATCGTGATCACTGCAGCCACTGGAGGTGCCACCATTCGCCACAATGTGAAAAAGAGCATTAAGAAAAAATCTAATTGCGACCCTGACAGTGTGATAATTGTGGATTAATCATTGCGCAATTCACTTAATCCCATCGTCTCGCTTTCATAAACTTACTCGATATAACTCTGATAACGCTGCTTGTTGCTGGCCATCTGACACTGCGCACACATGCCAACATAGCAAATGGTCTGATGACAAATGTTACCTTAATTTGTTGTCCTTCCCCCGCATCTCCGATTAGCGTGGTTGGCTACGTGCTGTGCGAAAGAAGTTCCACGTGCAAACATGCATCTTCCAGAACAATAACAGGCAGCTCTGTGCACAGAACGTTGGCAGAGTCTGGATGCTTTCACCCCTTCCTTCGCACAGCCCGGTGCAGAGCAAATACCTGAAGCACATGCGAGCTGTCGGAGAGGTTGTCTTCCCGCTTGCGAGCCTCCTCCAGAAGCTGGGCGCTCTTCTTCTTCTCCATCTGCTCCTTGTGCTTCAGACTGGCCATCTTCTTTGTGTGGTCCTTCAGCCCCCTGGGTCACATGGCACAAGAGCGGCCCCCCACGTTATGCACCTGTGACCTTGTTGTGACGTTCCACGACATTTTTCTTGACCCGCAGTGATGCAACTCAAGACTGTAAAAAGCACAGGTTATGAACATGTTGTCAGATGCGCCGCCATCATCATGATCGACATCCCCTTTCTATCCAGTGCTGGATGAAGGCCTCACCACACCTATTCCATCCTTCGTGGTCTAGCGATACCACAATCCATCATGCACCTACAACATGAGGTGATACAATCGCTCTATCTCCGTGGTGGTTGAAACCTGCAGGTGTTTTTCTCCTTTGGCTGCCATTCCATTACCTGTCTCATCCATCGGCTATAATATTTTCGGGAAATGCGTCTTGTCTGCAATTTCACTCAACACGACGTCTTTAATTTGCACTTGCTCCCTGATCAAAGCAATCTTTCTGTCGAGTTTAATTTCCAGCACAAATCTCCGAACACGATTCATGGTGCACTTTTCATGCGCATCTACATGCTTGTTTGTGGCGTTATATTTCATAACGAAAATAACACAATCCAAATTGAGAGTGGAGTGAGGCAAGGAGATGCACCGTCACCAAGGCAGTGACATTTGGAATAGAACGCCGACATTGGAATAGTGACATTAAAATGCGTTCCTCGTAAAACGAAGGATGCATAAAAGAGGCACACAAATAAAATATTAACCATTTCATACAGAACAGCCACTGTACTGACTGTTAATAACGAACGACATAAAAATTTACAAAAAAACTTAGCAAAGAAGGTTGCAAAGTTAGGCACAAACTAAAAGAGCAAAGCAAAAGACACTTGAAATTATTTTATATGTAGGCTTTCATGACCGATGTTATGATTAATAAATTAGCTTCTTTTGGGTTTGCTCATCGTGTAGGTATCATGTCTTTATTTTCAGAATGGACAAGCAAAAAACAAGTGATATACCTAAATAATCTATTCAAAAAAACTATAAATCACTTATAATTAATATGCTTAATAAAATGACGTAACTATTGGAGACAACTGGGAAACAACCTTTTTGTTCTATAGCAATTAATTGAGGTTGATCGGGATCAAAATGAATGATAAATAAAATGGAATAAATCAAATAGAATCGAATTTATCGCTAAATATACCGCATTAAATAAACACATACAATACAATTTGGTTGTTTGATCACATTGACCATAATTAATTTTGACTGTAAATGCTTTTGAATGCAGCACAGCAGGGCATACATTTATTGTACACATAGGTCTAGCTGTTTGTCCCAAAAAACCTGCAGCAGTCAATGCAAACGAAGCGATCACTTAAAACTCACAGAATTGTGCACATTATACACACGCACATAAATATATGGGAGCAAAAAACCAGCAAGAGAGTTAGGGGAGCATACGTGATTTATAACAGAAAGCTACGTGATATGCAAAAGGCACACAATGGCCCCAAGCAATACAACGTGAAGCCCAGCGCTGGCCAAAACTACACACAAGTGCTCCCGAGGTGTGTGCCCAAGTATTGTACCACGGCATCAATCACTCACGGCCACCTCCCCACCAGCAAGGGCCCTCTCCGAGGGGGTTATCAGACTTCCCCTTGCCATCTGGGCACTTGGCATAGCCCGATATGAGGGTCAGTGCCCGCGCAAAAACCTAGGCGGCCACCTGTTCTGGGTCAGAGGGAAGGACATCAGTGATGTGGCCGGAATCATTTTTTTGCCTGGCAAGACAGTCCGCAGACGCCGGCCACGTACAATCGAGGGAGAAAAACGAAAGGGGCCCTCTGCTTTCTGTTTTTCATTCTCGCTGGCCTCTCTTCACCGTACCCGCAGCTGCCTTCAAAGAAAATTGTGAAAATGTGCAGAGTACAAAAGCCGCTGCCTACCGCCCCCCACCCCACTCCGCAGATGAATTGCTGTGGAATAAAGGATGGGTTTGGAATTTTCAAGAGACAACATATTTGTACGGATTTGTAAATTTATTTAAAGACCCCCTGCTGGCATTTCTTGCCAGGGTTATTGTTATAAATTGAGCTGGAGAGCGTTCCAAAGGTGCATATAAGTTCTTTCGATTTGCAACATGGTTTTATTTTTTTTAGATGGAAAAAAGGGAAAAAGAACGCTTTCCCCTCCAGTTTGCTATTTATCATGCTGCCCACACAATCACGCTAATCTACCATGGCCATTCCAGAGACTTGGGTAAATGTGCATCGCAAACCACTAAGCTCTAGGAAAATAATTACTTTCCTTGCACAATTAATTTTACGCTGCAATTAATCTTTTGTCATGTACTGCGAGGAAATGGCAATTCAGTGCAGGCGTGATGTGTTTGCGTGTTTATATAAAGTTGCAATTTTTAAATAAGCAACTAAATGCGTACGAAAACGTAAGAAAACACACAAAATTGCAGAGTGCAGCAGATATCTATGAGGTGCATTAATCATGGGGCGGAGGGGGCACTCTCCTCGCCCACAAGTGAGTAACACTTGCCCAAGCAGCACCACAGCTGTTAATTCTGAGAAGCAATTGCCACTTGCAGGAGCTCGGGAGGAACGGCTACGCGCGTACGTGTGTGAATGTGTGCCAAGGCATGCGAACGCGAAGTGCTCGGCTCACTTTACAGTATAGATCAATGTCACAAAGTACTCAACAAACAGATTCTTTGCAGAAGATAATTTACAGTGCCTGCCATATCTAGAGGCGCAGCTGGCAAAACAACATCCCAAAGTCGATCCCTTCATTTAAATTTGGGTACATGGCGTTCGACAATATCTATTCTGCAGCAGCAAGTGGTGACTGAAAAAAAATGTGGGACCGCTATTTGCAATGTTTGCGTGCCTAATTCCTCTCCATGACAACGGTCTTGCATCCAGTAAGCACCTATATGTGCAACTTGGGACGAAAAAAACCCTGGCACACAAGACGGAATGAAGATGGATGTTTCCAAAAACATTTCAAAATTGCTTCCCGTTACGTGGCACAAATGTACGCCAGCCCAGACGCTAATGAGTAAAAAGACCCAGCAGGGTTTCATCGCTTTATTGATTTACAGAGACTGTGTATGGGCATGCACAGCCGTTTCTGACAATCCACTGCTGGATGAAGGCCTCCCGTCATGCCGTGCCGGTCGTGGCAGTCATTTAACCATACCTGAACACGTTTGATCTTGGCGGGGCTGGTGAAGTTGGGGAGCAGACATTGGAGTACAGGATACAAATGAATATTTCTGCACTGCCCTCTGGTGCCCACATAGGTACGGAGCAGCCTACAGCATCTGTTTTTTTGCATGGTGGTCACTCATCCAAGCGCTATCCAGTCTCAACCCTGTTAATCTTCTGAGATCTGCCACAGTGGAGAGCATCAAGCGCGATTTGTTTGCGAACTACGCATGGGGTACGCAGCATTCAATTCGACGTGTTCGGATATTTGCTTTTATGCGGGTTAAAATAATTTATCCATTTATTTTATGGTATTTACATGTGCGACGTGTGAACTCGGCCCGTTTTATTGAGTCAACAAGAGCATCAGGTGCAGAGGGGCGTGCAAAAAGAGGCGGGGGGGGGGGGGGGCACCAAGTCCAGAGTCAAATCAAGGCTAGCGATTTATGGCCGCTGCAAGTGAACCACAAACACGCACAAACGCATGCCACGCACTCAGAGGAACACCGAGAACAAAAATGACAAAGCGAGGGATGGGAAGCCCTCACGACGACTGACAACCGCGGTGTGCCACGGGTGTACTTAGCATCCGGCGGAGCTGCCCCGGGCCGCGATCGCGCACACCTTTTCCCATGGGCCCCCCCCCCCCCCCCCCCCCCCCAAGCTCTCGTTGCACATCTGGGGATTTTCAAATCCCACTACGGAGCTTTCATTTCAAACGGCCAGTGTCACTGCCGCAGCATTCTGCGCATGACGAATGACCGATGTGCTGCCAGATTGTGAAATGGGCGCCGTGATGAATAGGGCCCGTTGGCCCCCTCCCCATCTCTGATCCGGCCCGTATGATGTACGGCGCCCTGTCCAGCGCTGCCGCGATTTATGATCTACGGGAATCGCTGGCAGCATCCACAGGGCCAGCCGAAAATAAAAGCCAGCAGCCAAAGCGGACGCTAAATGCTTCTCGGCGCAACTATTTGCATGCAAATTAAATCGCTCCTGCAACATTTTCGCTGGCATTTTAAGACAGCTGCACTTTTATACAGTACGCGATACAATGAACTGCATTCCATCCCGTTAAGGCGCTGATAATAAATAAAGAAATAAAACAGAATTAAACAAGTAAAAAGCAACTGGAATGTTGCTAGATCGTTGAAATTTGAACAGTTGTAAAGACACACAACGTGAAACATGAACACAGGAGGAAAACACGACGATTAACGCAGTCCACGGATGACTGTGACCTTAAAAGTTAAACAAAAAACCGAGGTGTGCATTATCACAGAAACAACAGCACCATGTCCTGACGGACGGCGATAACTCTGCTGTCAATCTGAACGCTTAATACGGCACGCGGGAGGGAAAAAAAAAGAGAAAAATCATGATTGTGAAAAGACATGCGTACAACCGATGGTAGGCTTCGAGGAGGACTACTAACCTGGGAGTAGAGCTGGGATTGGTGCAAGGGAGGTCGGAGTGAAGGAGGAGCACACAGCATAAGGAAGAGTATTAGGGGCATATCTCTCCGTGAACACAGTCATTTTGTCAAGACCCACTGGCTGTAATATTGATTAATCTTGTTTTGGCAATGTGAGGTGACCAGGAAATGTCAGTACAAAAACGGATTCTGCGAATCTATCTGTGCAGAGATTTTGAGTGTTACCACTTTATACGTGTGGGTTTTTCTCCGGGAACGCCAGTTTCCTCCCATGTGGCAACATTCATTGTTGAATAATACTGCTTAAACATCCCAATGAAGGACCTTTTTGGGAAAAAAAGTGTCTTGAGACTCTGAGGCTTTCCTGCGTAAAAAAAATATCCATGAATTTAACTAAATATGAGAATAGGTTTTCCCCTTTTTCCAGCAACAAAACAGGTGTTAAGATGTTGAAACACCCAACCGAAACCTTTTACAATGAATCATGTCTGCATTAACCACAATACTTGTGGTCAGAATGCAAACAAAAAACACTGTTAATATATGCATTGTCTTTGAAACTGATTGGTCCACACCAGAGAAAGTTGTCTCTGGTGTGGACCAATCAGTTTCAAAGACCGCAAGTACTGTGGTTAATGCAGACATCATTCCTTGTAAAAGGTTTCAGTTTGGTGTTTTAACATCTTAACACCTGTTTTGTTGCCAGAAAAAAGGGGAAAACCTATTCTCATATGTTGGTACTGGCAAAGGAGGTCCCATGATTATAACTCAAGTTAATAATACATTCAATTAAATTCTTTAAAGCAGTACAGCACAAAAGAATATTAAACAAAGGGCATGATTAGTTCAGAATAGAAAAGTGATTTAAAGCTTTCATGACTGCAGAGATTCATATTCTTGGTTCTTTCAGTAAAGCCACGTAGAAGGGAAACAATAAAATAATAAAAATACAAAACAATAAAATTATCACGACGTTTCTACTGCAACACAAGCAATCATCATCAGATGTGAAAACCACAAGAAAATTTGAAAAAAGTGGGGGTTTTTTAACGTTAAAAACTGCCACGTTAAAAAAATGCCACTTTTTTCAAATTGTCTTGTTGTGGTTTTCACACCTGATGATGATTGCTTGTGTTGCAGTCGAAACGTCGTGAGAATTTTATTGTCTTATATTTTTGATTATTTTATTGTTTCCCTTCTACGTGACTTTACCAAAAGAACCAAGAATACAATATAAAAGTGCTTTGAAATAAAACGAAACATCATTCCATTGAAAGAACATTGAAGTTAGTTGGTCACATTCAAGTGTGAGCATGGATCCAATGCTCAAAACGGAAATTGACACACCATATGGAAATGAGCAAAGCTTGCACTGCTCTGTATGGTGGTGTGGTGATCAAAGTAAACCCGTAGACTTAAACCACAATGTCATCACTGAGTTCAGGCCATGGCGTAACCCTATTACATTACAGACATTAAAAAAACAGGAAAAAAGCTTTCTCATTCAAAAATTACTTGCGAGTGTTCAAGTATTTTCTCTAAGATATAGAAAAGACCTGATTAAATAACATTTACACGGGAACATTTGAATTGCTCAGACAAAGGGGAAAATACTCAGGAAGCTCTCTACCCTGGAGGGTAATTCAAACAACCTCTGGTCTGCTCTATATTTTCTGTCCTACGCTCAATCATTCTAATACTTTACTCAATTGTCTACATTTTATTCCGATTGTGCTCTTGGCATCACGTCATGATACAAAGCCTCCCAATTCAGAACTCTCGGAAAGCAGTGCATCATTCTGTGTTAGAGAATGGTCCGTGGACCATGGAAGAAGTTCTCACAGAAACTCGTCTGAGATTCCTTCAAGTGATGTAATTTTACCGCATTATAGGGATGCGTAAAGCTTTCAAGGTGAAGAGAAAATGTTGCCACTTGAACGACTAAATGAAAAGCGTTGTTATTGTTGTTTTAATGTTCAATTCATGGCAGTCAACCCAATGTACGTATTTGTACGTATAAATCTATTTGAATTCAAAGAGCAAGAATTTAGCCAAATTAGTGAAAAAAACTAATTTAAAGTGCCTTTTTGTTGTACGGCCATGGATGATCGACCAGATTGAGTCCATCACCTCCCTACACTTGAGAATGCAGTTCATTCCCAGTTAGCCGCCAAGATTAAAATCCAGGACCTTAACAGTGGCAGCCCATTGCCCTGACCCCAAAGCCACCTGGCCACCTCTTGTTAAGCAGCTGCATTAATGACGATGAAGCGATGGGCGTCGAGTCCTTTCTACGCGATTACACCCAACAGTTTGAAATCAGGAAACTCACTTCTCCAGCTCGGCAATCTTCTTGTCCTTGTCGTGCTTCTCGTTCTCCACCTCCTTGAGGATCTCGAGGAGGCGGTCCACCTCTGCCTGTGACTTGGCCACCTCCGACCGGTTCTGGGATAATTCCTTCTCGAGCTGCCGGATCCGGTCGGTGAGCTCAGGGCTCGTCCGTGCCTCCTCCTCCGCCACCTGGGACTGTGATGGCGAGGAACCACAGCACCAGCCATCGCTATATCAATGAGCAACTTCAGAAATGTGCAAGCAAAAGCGATGGCTGTTTCAACCGAGAAGGATTCGAATTAACAACGTCCAAACATCGAGAACAAAAACGTCGCTCCTCCTGGCTTTGACGTTCCCCCTCGAAGACACTGGTGGAACCATCAACGGCATCAGGACACCAACAGGCTGCGGCACACATCTCCTTCGTAAACGGAACATTAAAGACAAGCTACAGTGCGACTGCGGCAATGCAACCCAAACTATGTACCATATGGTAAAGCAATGAAGTCTGCGCTCCGAAATACAGAGATTCTGATCAGCCAATGTGCATGCATGTTATACGTGCGCACGGAGGACGCATAAATACTGTCGGGTAGAGAAACACTGCCAAAATAGCAATTCATCTTGCAGAGTGAAAAAGGTTATGGTTAAGCCCTGCAAATGTCTTGCCCATGTCAGTGCTGGTGGAAGGATATCCACTCGAGTGAGCTCCTCGAAAGGCTATTTTGACCGACTCTTCCACAATGCTCTCTGGTTCTTTCGGTAAAGTCACGGAGAAAGAAAATAAGTTAAATAATAGAGTACGACGTTTCGATTGCAACACAAGCAACCGTCATCAGGTAGAACTACATTTGAGAGAGAGACAAAACACAGACACACAGAGAGAGAGACACACAACATAGTGTGTCCTCTCTCTGTGTTTCTGTGTTGTCTCTCTACGTCTCCGTGTCTGTGTTTTCTCTCTCTCTCTCTCTCAAATGTAGTTCTACCTCATGACGGTTGCTTGTGTTGCAATCGAAACGTCGTACTCTGTTATTTAATTTATTTCTACGTGACTTTACCGAAAGAACCAAAGAGTAATTCCTGCAGTCACGAAAGCTTCAAATCAAGTTCTTCCACACTGGCCTGACACGTTGAAAGAGGTGCGACTACGCAAAATGTATCTACCACAGACGACTTTGCCGCTCTCAACTGTGGCGTGTGTACGCGCATATATTGCGGGGTGGACAAAGGCAGCATCCATTTGCAAAGTTACACGGTGATATATTTTACAAAGAAATTAAGTAAAACATTTAAGGGATTACAAAAATAGATGTGTTGTGGTCTTTATCCATCTTCACTGTTTTCCCACAAAGAGAGTGCATTTTGTTTTTTTTGTTAACACCTAGCCCATTTGTCCAATCCACTAAGGCCTTGTGTAGTTTTCTGGTTAAGAGACAATGTTGACACTTGAATGACTGGAGTAAAAGAGCTGACAGTGTTGTTGTTGTTGTTTTGATTTTTGGAAATGTTTTCATGGCACATGACACTTGGCTGGCAGCTTGCTACCCCACAGCATGAATCCGTCACGCATCACCATAGCGGATAACCGTCAGAACACCAGTGTTTAAAATCGGAGGCATGACTAAAAACACTAAGCGTGAAAAAAATAACCGCTCAAGCAAACTACAAATAGATCCTTTTTTTCGCCAAACGGTTTTGAGTTAGAAAAAAAAGGAAAGAAAAAATGGACAAAAATAATGCAATTCCTTATTAATTTGGAATAATAATTTTGTGTCAGCTTGGTCTCACGATGAAAAAAAAAATAGGACAAATGCACAACACGCTCGCTTATATGCAATAATCTGGACATGAAAATTGGGTTTTCAAGATAAAATTCCCACACACCTGAACAAACATATTACTGGAGGAATTTAAAAAGGGCAGCAATTTTCATTTACGATGGCATCTTAAACTGTCTTACTGCCCAATCACCTCCAATTACTTCCTGCAATGCAACCTGTGTTATCAGTGTGTGTACGCTGTAATTAGGCTCGCTTTAGTCCATGTCAGTGCCTCTCAAAGCCATTCCCACCGTGGCTCAACTTACCTCTACGCCCAATCGTCTCCACTCACATTCAGAGCAGGTACCAATTGGTGTGTGAAAAAAGGGTCAAACAAACTTTGTCCACTTGATCAACTGGCAGACAAGCAGAGCTTGGAACATGAGGATGCCATTAGGACTAGCCCACAGAGATCACTTCACGTCACCTGGAACCAAGGTGTGCAATGAAACGGCATGAAAAATTCACATTCACAGGAGTTTTCGCAATCAATGAATGCCTCTGACCAGTATTCATCCTCATTGTCATCTCCCATGATCAATCCACTGCTGGATGAAGGTCTCCGCTCAAGTCATTGCTATCTCATGATCCTGCAAGGCAATTATCCACCTAGAACCTGCATTTGAATGTCATCGCTTCATCTCCTCAGTTGATGTCCTCTCAAGACGTGTGTTCCATCTCTTATTATCCTTCACCGTAGGGCCTCATCTCTTCTATCGACGCATTCTGCCCAGGCAGACTCACTTTCTTAACAGTTGTAACCGTGTATTGATCCTGCAGAGGGTCCTTTGATCCACAAGATTATCGTTTTGTCTCTCAATGTAATTCCGAGCCATGCATATCTCCACGCTAATTTGTGCACTTTTTAAATTTACATTCCATTTTCTTTGTTAATGATCGTGTTTATGATGAATAATTCACAGCAGGTGGTACACATTAAAAAAAAAATGTAGGCACATTACTGCAGATATTACAAATATAGAAACAAAAATGAGGTTAGTGGAGTAAAACACTTGAGTTTTTTTGGAAACGATGGGACAAACACTTTTCTGCCAATGACCTCTTTAAAAATGAGGAGTGATCTCTATGAAGCACGCTTTAATGGTTTTGCACATTCGTGCCTGCCTGCCCTGATATTTTAAGCGGACTATAGGGATTAAAACTTTTTTTATAAATTGCAAGAAATGTAAATAGATCTTACAAAATGATGTTAAATTTCACTTCTTTCCAAATTTTATAAATTACCTCGGATAAAAAAAAAATACGCATCGAGATATCTGCCAAAAGACTAAACAATTAGAAAATAATGTAATGAAATAAAACTCTGGCACGCTCAACTCGACGAAACATTTACGTTACTCTGTCATCGTGGGGCTTCAGAAAGCCAAACAAAACCCCAGTCAAGTAACTATACAAAAAAAACAAATTGTACACGCTTGTGACCAGCAATATGCACTTTTGTCTGAACAAAAAGTTGGATATATTTGTCGATGTGTGAACGAACAAGAGCATGGTCGGAATGGTGCAATTGCACGAGTGTCATTAAAAGTAAATTTCCAACGGTGAAAAGTGAAAGGCGCGAAGGAAACAAAAAAACGAGTTCTTGAAACACATTCTGACGCCTCTGTTGCAATGCGACGGCACTCAAAGTGTGAACAATGCAAGCAAATTTTTTGGAAATGCACTCTGTTTCTGTTGGAGTGCATTGCATACACACACACAGAACAACATTAATGTAATGGGGGTATGGCTCACCACCTCTTTTTTTGTTGCAGACTTTCAATACAAGGCAAGGGTTTTTAAAAAAAAGAAACTCCCACGTGTTCATCAAGCAACCACAAAGACATTATCAAGTCATTATCTGTGCCCCAATTATAAACACAAACAGGCCATTTTGTAATTGTTTCCAGCGTGTTCTCCTGACACGCAAAGTATTGCATGCCAAAAAATAAATGTTTTGCGGTGCTCGTTTTCATTTAATTGTTCTCATAAGTGAGACAGGGAACCCAGCGTGATCTTGCCCGTGTCGAATAAGATTTTAAAAATCTTTATTTACAGCCCTATATTAATCCACTGCTGGATGAATGCTTGCCTTCAGTGCCGATTATGAGTGAAAAGATGTGGGAGAGGCCAGCAGATATCGCTCGGGGCCACGGAATCGAACTGAGAATAAAACATATACACGTCTAAAATTACGCATTCCTGTTTGTGCTATCTCGCAGAAACCACTCGTAGAAGAAAACTACCATTTTTACTTCAAGTCTACCCTCCCGTAAATAATCAGGCAATGCCAACCCGTATCAAGTAGAGGTCAAATGTGGGTGGTAGGGCCACACATGCAACTACTCAAAATTGCTTATAATGTATATTCTCGAAGAGACCAGTAAATAGTAACAACTATTGTTCATGGTTCTGTGAGAAGTCGGAATGTTTAGCCTGCGTTCTCCAAGAGAACCGTCCGCTAAAGCTGCCGTATGCAATACCAGCATTTTGACTAATGTGCGAGGTCTGGTTACATTTAGTCTGGAAGCAATTAGAGATGCTGCATTTGACCATATTTCAATTCTGTCATGTTAAAGGCACCCAGGGTTTAGTGGCCCGTGCAATCATACATGTGCACACGCAATAAGCACGCACACACAATTTAGCACAAACACTGCATCCTCAGCAGGAACATAAAAAAAGGTGACGTGGACTACAATTTCAATGTAATTATACACTTAAGCCAACGTTCACAGAAACAGACTAACTCTGTTTTTTTAAGATCAATCCATTTGTGTAAGACGAATTCCAACCGTGTTATACAGTTAGGAATTACTTCAGAACTATAATCCATTGTCTGGAAAGATGTAAGCTCTTTCTTGACGGCACGGTGCGTGGATTCATCGATTAATATTAATCTTAAGCTCAAGATACATGCGTCAACTTGTGCTTGCGTACGGATTCGACGATTTAATTAGTATATCTATAGGTTTGTGCCATTCATGGAGCCTCGAGCAGGAATAAAATAAACTAAAATAGTTTCATGAACTTGCCGAAATGCTGGGGAGAGGTGAACTGTTTGGAACTGTTTCACCTCACCCATTTGCTAATTTTACACTTGTCCATGTACAGCCCGTTGTCAATCTACTGCTGGACGAGGGCTTTCCCAACGCTATGTGCATATTCTCTGGGGTTACGTGACCACGTGTGGGTTGGTGAGGGCAGGTAGCAGAGGTGGGAGCATAGACGTACAGTACACTGATAAACGGTGTATTTTAATGCCCGGATGGCCAAGGCTTCGAGTTGCTTTGGCAAACGCCATGCAGCATTACCCACCTTGACTTGCATTGAGGTAGCCATTTTGTCAAAATGCCACTTATAAGAAAACCAAATTTTACTTTTTGTTAAACCCCCATTTATGAACAAATAATCAAATAAACGTTAACTTACTCATTAAAATTTCTCCACCGTGAAATCCAACAAGGGAGGGTTCAAATAACCATTTGGCCATTTATTAAAAATGTCGTCCGGTACGCAAATGTTAGCCATCTCTCTACATGCACGCTCAGACATTCTAAGCCTTAAAAATAAATCACGTTAAAAACAGCACGACTGCGCTGAGGCCTTCAGTAATGCGCCGGTTTATTTATCATGCATTACCGATGCATAAAAATAAAACTCACATCTGTTACTTTCCACGAGGAAATACGTTACATCCAAGCATTAAAACATATATGCAACGGAGCCATTTCTATTTTCTATGGCTGGTGGCGTCTACATACGAACGCTCTCTCACAATCATGAACAGCTTACGAGACACTTAGTCTTGGCAAGATTCGGTAAAAAAAACAATTAAAACAAAGCACCGTGGAAGTAAAATTCTTTCACTGTCTCAAGGCTCTCTCAAAATCATACTGCATTCGATTCTACATTCGGCGTGGCAGTTGAAATAATGGTGCAATTTTCTAAAATCCCCTCGCCTTTTTGAACCCAGCAGCAGTATAAATGAGTGCACCATGGTTAGTCGATCGGCAGGTCACGTGCCGTGGGGCAAAGTATGGGTACTGCCACCTTTTCAAAGACACCGGTGTGGAAGAATTTGGCCAATATAAAGCGCTAGGCTGGCTCTCTAGAGCTTCCTCTGGTGGAAGACCTTCTGCCAGCAGTGGTACGAGTAAAACATTGTATGGCTACACCTTTACCTTAGCTTTAACGTTCTGAACATCTATCTACCTCACAACAGCATCGAGAGCTTACTTGTCGAGTCTGCCTCAGTGAGCCAAATCTCCTCCCTCCTCAAATTACTAGAGAACAGAGTTTGGGATTTTTGTCCACAGAGTTTCTGTACCCCCTCCCCTACGTCACTGTTCGTGCTTTGCATCGGGCACCGACTGAAATATAATAAAATATTTTTTAAGATACATGGGCGAGCTAAACAGCAGCACAACCGCGCAAACCTCCGCAGTGGTCATATAAATTAATTTCCGCGCGCGGGGAATGAAACGTCAGCCTTCATGCCGAACAAAACAGAATGGGAAGCCAGTTTTGAAGTTAGATTAAAAAAAAATCCATGTTGAAAGGAGCATCATCCATCCATATAAGCATGATTATCAGGAAAGCGAAGAAACTGTCCCCACAATTATTGGATGGCAGGCACTCTTCAGCAACAACTGTGCATGCGTGCATTTCACTACCCACCTTCCGGAGATGCGACTCCAGCTTGCTGCATTCCTCTGTCCTCTGCTCCAATGTGATCTCCAGAGACTTGAGCTTAGAGTCCTTCTTGAGTCCAGCCGAGGCGAGAGAGGAGGCATGCTCCTTGAGGTCCAGCAGAGACGACTGCGGGGAGAATCGTATGGCTCTCATTACCATCAATCGCCATCATCACTGTATACTTATCTCATGCTTCTCATGCAGTACACATCTCAAGGAGTCCTTTGGCAGGGGATCCCCCTGCGGCAGCTGTCTGCGCAGCACCAGCTGAAGGCAGCACCAGCCAGCAAGTAGACATTAAGTCTGCCAGCAGGGATGACGATACTATGTGGCATCCAAATTCAGTAATCCGCAAGTAAATTGTCAATTTTTTTTAATGCCATGATTCATCAGCATCATGATTTTATCATCATTCTCATCGGCAGAGTTCTAGCCACTGCTGGATGAAGGCTACCCCACGCCGTCGCCATCTCTTACAGTCCTGCAGTGCCACAAAGCGCCGTACGAACTGACCTCTGAACCGCATCTCTTGCAGTGAGCACTTCTCTGGCGCATTTTCCTCCTTTGGCAAACATTCCGTCACCCAGTTTCATCCATCCGCCAATCATGCCTGCCCCCTAGTCTCAATGTGCACAAGCACACTTACTATTCTCTTACCGCGATCGCCCCTCACCAAAAGCGGCCGTAGGTACACTTGGGGCTTCTTGTCAGACAGAGCCAGTGACAGACATGGGGACGTGGCCTCGTGGCACACGGTGCCAGGCACTTTGGCATGTCAGGGCAAAGGAATTACGTTCGAACACGTGCACATTTTGACAGGATCGTGATTGCACGTGAACACACAGGCACACGCGCCATGCACAGTGCGCACACTCAAGGGGCACTGCAATTAAACTCGCAACTCCAACCTTGGGTGTTATTCCTAGTGCCTTTGAGAGACGGGAAAACTCTTCTGGAAGACGCGTGGGAAAGTTTTGTAACCTATGACCTATGGTATTATTTTATTTCTTTTCCCACTGCTTAAAAAATGCGGGCTCTTGAAAGGTTGGAGAAAATTAGAATGACGCCAACAATTGCGCAATGATTTTACATTATAATTTGAGGGCCATATCAAGTGGGCTCTGCGTAAATGCTCATGTATATCTTTTTAAATCCACATTTTTCACATCTTTAGTTCACTGTGGGGGAATCACCTCTGTAAATGCTTAAATGCTCAAAGTATATCCTAAGCGCATGCATATTACATTAACGTATTTACCAAAAACATTGGACATTTTTGTGAAGTGGCATGAGTAAAGTGGAGTAATGGCATTTATATAATTCGAATATGACCGAATATTCTTTAAACCTTCATATATCACACTTACAATAAAGTTCGTAGTAATTTTTCCTACAATAACAGTTTTGTTAATGTCAAGGACAGACAAGATGACGAACATAAATGTATTACATATAGCAGATACTATTTTTTTTTTATAATAATTAGCTACAGGCAAGTTAGATTTCTTGGACAAGTCATGCAAAAACAAGAGACTGAACATAATGTTACAACTGGGAAAATGATTCGTACAAAAAAGCCGGGGAAGACAGTGAATTAAGCACATAAGCAATTTGAACAATTGGGATTCAAATGGGAGTGTCCAATGCAAAGTTATTGAGTAATATCACACACAGAGTTTGAAGAATGGAAAGCCACCCATGACAGCCGACGTCTTTGAGAAAGGACATTGCACGTACAGAGGCATTGTTAACTTCCAAGTACAACAAATATTGCAAAGAGATACTTTTTTTTAAATGTAGAAACCAACAAGTGTGTTAAAACACTCTGTTTAATTGATCATGGCATGAACCTGAAGTGTAAGCTGCATTTATTACATTTATCAACCCTGTAAAGATACCACAATGAGCCGTATAACCCTTGCAATGAACCTCCTAATCTTACACATTCTTGAGGTAGTGCTCCATAGGCTGTGCCACCATGCAAACATCTGCTAAATCATGTGAAACCACCGAATTAAAAATTACACGCACGAGGGTATCAAATGAGACTGTCTGGGCTGCACATTTGGACCCCCCCCACCGCCACCACCCGCCGCCCCTGAACTACTAGGTGATTAAATAAATATACGTGAAAACAGGCATATGTCAGTGCTGTGTGTGTGGCAGAGAATGCCTCTAATGCAGTTACATTAAAGCTGAGATGGTTGAGCCTGCAGATAGAGCTATCATTTGCATGAGATGGCCACCTCCAGGGAAATTAGGTGCCTGTATTAGGCAGAACACGTTTAAGTTTATGTTGTTTAACCAAAATTGGTCCACTTTCCATGAAGGTCCCCCCCCGCATAGGTCATCTCATGATTCTGTGATGTAAGAACCCTTAACAGTTTAAAGTATGCCTCTACGTTCCTCTTTCCATCTCTCACCATACTTTTTTTTTAGCTCCAATAGGAGATTGCAAAATTCCTAAAAGCTACCATATTTCCAGTCGCCGTGGCGGGGATATTGGAAAAACATTTTCAATGAGCAATAATCATGCCCTCGGATAAACCTCATTGGCTACGATACTGCCACTGTGCAAAGCTACTCTGAATGTCATTTTAAGCAAATATGGACAGATGATCAGTACATCCAAATGGCTGGCGCCACAGAGTACTGGGCGAAACGGAAAGACGGGGGTTCACCTCCTTCTCAGAGAGCTCTGCCTGGACAGTGTTGACCTTCTCTTTGAGGTCCTTGTTCTCCTTCTTGTAGGCCTCCACCTCCTCCTGTCGCTCCCGGTCGTCACGTTCTCGCTGCTCCTTCAGACGCTCGATTATCCTCTCCTTCTCGACAAAGACACAAATGGAGGAGGGGTCATTGAAATGGCCTTTCTCCATGAAAATGCACAAGCTGTTCTACGGGCCAAACTATTCCAGAGCCTCAGGTGTCCTTAGGGAATTATGCTTTTGTTTATCACCGGCCGACATAAGCCATGCTCAAGTGTGTGTGAGGATAAGTGACCAAGTACCTAAAATCAGCGGTGGAAAGTTTTTTGAATAAGCAATGTTACTGGAACAAAGTGATGAAAAAACAGCAGTTGAGAAAGTAGAAAAGCATTTTCATAGGGGTGAAAGAAAATTCGGAAAAGGCTCCGAAACCACATTGCACAAATTTCAGACTCAGAAAATACCGTGGGCAGCATTGAAAATAAGCATAATTAAAGATAATCAAAAAGAACAGAATACGGTGGTGGATTCAAGAGGTCAAAGTTAAAATGGTCAAGCTGTCAAATGCCAATGGCGGAGCCATGCCATAGTAAATGATGGGCTAAGGGCAAAGCCAAGCCCAACAGCCCGCGAGAATATTGAAGAACAGGCACGTGGCTCTGAGAATGAATCCTACTGATCCACCAGGCGAAATAGGCAAATATCATTGTTAAAATTAGAATGCATTGATGAGCAAGTATATTCGTGACGGGGCGTCCGACACGTCTATCTGGGGTTTGAGCGCTCTTCCATAGTATACTCAGACTAAACATTCAAGATTGGTTGAACGTTCAAGTTTGCCAATCTGGTAGAACAGTAAAGCTCCAGATTATTATGCTCCAGAGTTAAAATCCCGTCCAAAGGGTCAATTCAAGATTGGCAATCTTGAACGTGCACTTTTGCCTATGTGTGTTTCTGTCTAGCCTGCTGAGCTCTCTGTTCCAGTAACAAGTGCAATGGGTTTACCGTGAGAGAGCGGGGGGATGGGGGAAGTGGCCAAGACGGCAACAAAGTTTCACTTGTTTGAGGTTTGCGCACAAGTGAAATCATTTAACGATTCTACCGCAAAAAATACTTCCATCTTCACGGTTACATATGTGCAGGCTTATCACAGCAATCCCAGGTGCCTCTTGGCCCAAACTTAGCCTTGGACCACGGAGCCAGAGGGAAGCGAAGCAAAAATGGACTTAACCTACGGGAAGGAATATAAATCTTCGTGGCATCATTTTGTTAAACCAGAGCAAGTGTTTGGGGGGGGGGGGGTTGCCACTAGACAGCAGCAGTGACAGCATAGAGACCACATGTCCAGACCTCCTTCCACACACGGTGCAATGTCGAGCAATAAATTGTGCACCATCTGTTTGTATTAACAATGACACATTTAACAAAAATCACATTTAATCAAAAAACAGGGACACGCACATGCAGAGCTAGCCCTCAAATTTCAGTGGTAAAAATGCTGATGGGCATAGCGCCACTGGTAGAACAGTAAAGCTCCAGATTATTATGCTCCAGAGTTCAAATCACGTCCAAAGGGTCAATTCAGTTATTCATATCCTTACAGGGGTCAACACGAAATTTGGTGGTAAATTAACGGAAGAATATCACAATCACCGAAAATAAAACATGAATTTTAGACTACTGCAGCTGAGGCAATGACATACTCATGAGCTACTCACATTTAAACACTGGACAAAGTTGAAGCAAGAAATATTCACTATGGAACACTTGGGAGCTCGATCGCAGGGACCATTAATGGTATATAGGTATAAGTGGTACCGCTCCTTTGATTCAGTTCTGATCTGACTCTTTTCCCTATCCTGTGATCTCATCCTGAAACTATTCCTCCAACTTTCCTTTCCCCCCTTTCTTTATTCTCACCAATTCTTCACGCTCTTTTTCTTACTCTTCGCCACCTTCCCTTGCTTTCCCCAATCATAGCTGGACAACACTGGAATATATGCATGCTTCTGTAATCTGATAAATGGGTATTCCTTTACTGATTTTTCATTGTTGCTGAAAATACGCACGCACCAAAAAAACCAAATATTCATCAAAAACCAACGGCACACAGGGATAACGGTTTACCAAAGCAGAAAGCAATGAACCAGTCTCAACAAGCGAACATTTGCCGAAACAATATATTTACTTTAGGGACACGGCAAAAATAAGGGTTGACAAGAGTCCTAAATTGCGTCGGTTTGCCCGTGGCGGTTAGAAGATCTGGCAGTGCAAAACCTTTTCAGAGAGCGCCTCCTCGAGTGTGGCCAGGGCTGTGTCCGTGTTGCTCGAGTCGGCCTGCAGGGACTTGATTCGGTCCTTGAGGCTGCCAACCTGCTTCTCCTTGTCCCTCAGCTGTTCCTGTAGGTTCTCAATCTGCAGCGCCGCACACAGTGGTGGTGGTGGTGGAGGGGGGGGGGGAGACGCGCGCTATTCAAATCACTTCTTGACGCTTGAAAACAGAGCTAGTGTTGACATCAAGAATGGTGGCCATGCCAAGCATTTAGATTCGTGGATAGTAATCAATTAACATATGTTCCAGCCATTCTCACTTGACAAATGCGATGATTAATTTGTTATTTTGGAGATGGCGTGGCTTTAATGAATCTGTATGAACGTGATTGGTGGTTTTATTGGATGTGTTTATAATATGTTGTATTTATCCATTCTGAGTCTGAAGACCCTTTTTCAGGAGTGTTCTGCATTGTGCTGTTTCACAAAAAGTACTATTAAATTAGTGTTTTTCACATGGAAAAAAATCCACCGCACATACAAACATAACACTCAACAAGTCCACACAGATGGACTCTACTTGCTGTACTACCATTTACTGGCCAGCTCACAGTTGAGAGAATTTATAACTCAGTAATTTTTTGCAAAAGAGCATTGAGATGGTGCTCATCTTCTATTTAAGCACTAAGAGTGGTGTGGAAATTCAACACTGCTATGGCAGGGGTTGAGTCTACACAAAGAATGACCACTGTTGGCTTCCATTAAAAGTGGTACTAATTTTACCAAACCCCAGAGGAACAATGGGCTGAGTCAATCACCAACCGCTTACTCTGCCGCTGAGTGGGTATTGGTGTTCCTAAAATCGGCGTGATCTACTAGCGATTATCCTCCACAGCGCTGGATTACAGGCATGAGCCGCTGTGCCAGACTTGGGTTAAGAAGAACCTACTCTTGAGATGGCACGGAATTCTGGCCCCTGCTGTTACAACAAGGATGCGGCACGAAATAGGTCGTGGCAGCACTCCGCTCCTGGGGGCCCTTGTGTACACATTTAGCGCAATGTCTACAGCAGCGTAATGACTGCGTTGATGGGCCAAAGTAAGCATCTCTAATGTACTGCAATAGGGCTAAGCGCTTGTAATGTTTGCGGTAAATTGTTTGGGTTAGTTCTTTGCAAAAAACATAATTAATCATGTGCAGATGCCGAATAAACACAAAAATAAAAATAAGATTTAAATGAAAAATACATTTAGTTGTTTGTTATTCTTACTTAAATGCTGCATTATGTATGACTGCAAAAATAAATGTATTGTCTCTTAACACTTCAGACACTGCCCAGCGCACTGCAAGACATTTGTTTTACCATATGCTATGTTTTAACAATTGATAAATATATATCTGTTGGAACGCAAAAAACCCATGCTGTTTAAATCAGGGGAAAAAAATCAGAAACCCTCTCAGTCCGAATTAATAGCAGATACAAGGTCTGCTCAGACCCTACTGTAAAGGCTCACAACTGTCATGTAAGAATCATTAATACTCAACATAAAAGAACACATTTAACACGTGACAGACATCAAAGGCAACACACTGCCTTTGTTTTCCCTCTGCAAATGAAAAATGTAACATAGAGCCAAGTAACAGCACATTAATCTTTGGTACAGTGACCCGTATACCCGAGCCTACACCGGGGAACAAACGTTTACCCATAGGTTGCCACCTTTAATGACTTCATGTGCACTACACCGAACTCCCGCTAATCTGCATATAATAACACGTGCAGTGTTATTCTAGCAAGACCGGCAATACAATTTCGGTGGCTGCAGGCTACGAGTTTTTGAAACAAAAAAAGGGGCGGGTCAGATGGGGGTGGCTGCAGCTGCTCACGAGGCATATACACGCGTATTTGTTTCAACAGTCTAGATTTTACAGTTGCCAACATAAAATACAATTTGAAAAATGTGGTTTTGAAGAACGAATTCTGAGGCTTTAAAATGAGTTCTAGACTCGTGATGAAATAAGTAAGAGATAAAAGGTGCAGCCCTGCAATTGCTGGGTCATGCCACTGCTGGCAGAAGGGCCTTAACTCAAGGGAGAACTAAAGAGCCCCTCGACCATGCTGTGCCCATTTCCACTGCTGCTGTGTGGGACAGAGGAGCGGGGGCACATGTTCAAGACATGTGCCCATTGTTTCTTGACTGCCAAGCCAGGAGATTTGACCATCGGATCACTGGATTGCAAGTCCAGTGTTCTAAGCATTACCTCACCGCAGCATCCCACGATGAAAAATAACATGCTAAACATTCTCTGCTTGGAATACTACGGTTAACGAACCCGTGGCTGCATTGCAAATTAAATACCATTGATTTTTTACGCCGGAACTTTGTGAAAAATGTGTTCGAGTTGTCGGTGGGGATTTGCATTGACAAATGGTGAAAAATGATCTATTTTGATAGGGACAACTTAGAGGGGAAGACTGAATATTACAGATGAAGAAGAACAGGACATCATGCGTAATAATTCACGAGTCACTCAAAATGTCCGAAGGTACACCCTTGCACAATCCATGGATGCGTCTCTATGATGATTGAGGACCGTGGCCAGGCAGGTGGTAATGACACTTTATAGGGCCCTGGTCAGTCTTAAAGCATAACATGGGGTACATTTCTTGCCACTGCGTTCAAGAGAGGACAATGATTAACTTGCAGAGGGGAACAACGGCATCGCTGGAATAGGTTCCAGATTTAGTTTGGGCGGAACTAGCAAAAGAATAATGCAGTGAAACACAGGAAAGGAATTTATCAAGGAAAAGGCACACGAGTTGTTTGAAATTGTAAAACAATGGTACGGAAATAACAATTTTATGTTTAGAAATGTTCCTGAATGCGGGTGCATGTCAAAATAGTGGGGATGTACATTAGGATGATTTCAAGGAAAGTGTAATTCTTATTGTTTGGTGAAGCAACAACATCAAGACTTAGCAGGCAGGGAAGTAGAGTAAAAGCGAATAATTAAAGCACATGTATGAAAAGGTAATTTTAAATGTAATCGATAAGGCCAATTAACTTTGTAAAATAAGGAGAATGCCTTGTTTAAATGGCAGTGTGAGGGGTGGAAATTACAGATCCTGCTATCACAGCAGGGCTACCCATGAATTAATTCCATTTATCCACAGGAAAAAAATATTGGATCATTGTGGATAATAGGATGAATCTGCCGATTAATTCATTTTACTTGTGAAAAAATGTGAATAATACGAAGCCAATCCCACTGAGAAGGACAAGAAAATCTGCAGATAATTGCAGGAAACAGGAAAAAATAGGGCAGCATATAATAATAATGAGTTTTCAAAGACCTTACAGTTCTCATGGTAAATGATTTGCAGGTAAATAGGGCAGAGGATACAATAAGTTCTGTAGAAACAGGGGCTTTAGCAATACCGCACAACTATTGTGGAGGTAAAGTAAGTTTTTTTTTGGTGGCAATAAGAGACCACTTTAACAAATCGTTTCGATGCGGCTCTGCGTGTGAAATGTGAATGGGTGTCACATTGGTATCGCGCCTATTTAGATATTATTTTTAGTGAGGCTGGCAGCAGAGGTCTGCAGGCCCCCAAGGGCTCCGTTTTTCATCCACGGTGGAGTGAGCACGACGGGCTGAATGGTCTTCTCTGCCGCGTAACGCTCTGCACTTTCACGTTTCCATGACACGAAACGCAGCCAACTTCCATGGCAACAGCCACAAAGAACAATGCCAACTACTGGTAATATATTCCCGTAAGAGAATATGCAACAGACGCTTCAAATTGTTGAAAGTTCTTCATCATCGTCCTTTATCATTACCCAGTGAAGAACAGAAATAACCGCCTTTGGCCAATTCACTAGAATGCAGACAATATTCTCAGATCTTGGAAGTTAAGCAGGCCTTTTGAGCCTGGACTAGGCTTGAATGGGCAACCACTACACGTAACAGATTATCTCATAGGCTGCTGTGGGACTAGGCTGTGGGCAGCGAGGCGAAATCCATTGCTGGACATTACTTCTATGGCCCTGTGTCTATGCTCCCTACCTTGACGAACCCACACACTGACCACTGCGCGGTAGAGTATGATCAAATAACCCACACGACTTGCAACATGTGGCGAAGCCTTTTTCCAGAAATTAGATTGACAACCAATATAATGTATACAAAACTTCAATGACAAGCTTCATCTCCCAAATTCCAACCCCGTGTCATCGTCGTGGGAGATGAGCAATATGAGTAGGTGGACAAAGGGGCTATAGTTTAGGGGTGTGGAACACCTGGTGCAGTATTCACGATAGCTTCAGGCAGCTGATACTCAAAGAGGCCAATGACATCCACAACCTAGCAGTGGGACTCTGGGTAATGTGATGATAACTAAAGGCAGATGAGCCTCTGAGCGGCCAATGGTACCCCACAAACTTTAACAGAATATTGCACTCCAAGTCCACGCTTAACGCATTTTCACACGAGTTTTCGCTATAACACAGTTCTTCTATTTTAGGGATCACATTTTGCACAACGTGAAATGCTGCCCGTTATCACGCGGTTTTCGAGCGGTCAAAGGCGAACAACTTTCTTGAGCTGCGCGTCTCAGCAGTACGGGAATTCTGGGTAAGCGGCGACGTACCCTCACACCTCACTCGGTTCTTTGTCCGGCCATCTTACTGCGTGTGTGTACATCGTATATCCTGCAACCCCCACCTTTAATGTTACTTATAATGGGGAAACAGTTTTCGCCGAACGCGTTTTCGCTTGACGCGGCACTTTTCAGGAAACGCATCTTTCGCGTTAAACGATAAATTCTGGCAATTCGTAAAATAACTGTACAACTTTCATGTTTCCAACACACCTAAACCTTCCCCTCGATGCCGAGCTGTGCCTCGGCAGATGGGTAAACGCAGGCTCCAGCGCACACGACTAATTTTGCGGTATCGCAATGACATCGCGACTAGGCCTCAAGTTGACCATTTATGGAAGCGCTGTGGTGGGCACGGCATAAATTGATGGCGAGCCAAGCAAAACCAACACGTCCTAGAGCAACAAACAAGCGTGGCAGGCTTTAGGCAATGATGCAACAACAACGCACATTTCCATCAAGCCCAGTGAAACAGCTCAGTATC